AAAAAAACCTAGGGGGGGGGGGGGGATTTGAAAATGAAAGAAAGAGACTGATTGGTTGCCACTCACATCTGCACCGGTTTTAGTCTTCTCCAGTTTTGATCAATTCCCCTCTATGTTGATTCAAATATCTGGCCCTCTAGCAACTTCAGCGCAAAAATTATAGCTAATTTGACTAACAAACGTTAGGTGGTCATAATAATTTGGCCACTCAGTGTGTGTGTTAACTGCATTGCCCTAGGGCAACCAGTGATATTTAGACTACAATTACAGAGACAGTGGATGCCAGAGAACATCCAGCTACCATGTTGTTTCAACAAAGATGCGTTGCTGGACTAAAATGGATAGCTTTGTGCGACTTGAATGTTGCATGCAATGTTCTGGTCAGAGTTTCATTATGCTTGACAGACACATACGGTATGTGTGGCTCTCTACACCTTATCAGACTTAACATTTGGAGACGCTTGATAGGTGCTGAAAATGCTTGCCAAGTGCCCCCTTTTAGCATTTTCATGCGTTTAACGTAAAAGTTCCATTAGCGACATCTCACCTCAGCAATCTGATCTGTTTACTGTGGCGCAATACAGACAATTCTTATAGACACTGACAAATGAAGCTAGGTACGTGACTATAAAAAGTACTATGCAAGATGTCTGTGCTTACCCTTAGTATCCTTATCAATGTACTAGCTGCTGTATAGATATCACAAAGATATTCCAGCTATATGGAATACATAAGAGGTTCATATGGAATAAATTCATATGGAATATATACGAATACAGTGCTTAATCTGAAATAAACTAAACAACCCACCCATAAACAATCCCCTTAAAAAAAATATAAATCAAACAATGTGTACTCACATATCCATTCATCCTTTTGGTATTGAAAACTCCAAAAAACTGTGCAAGAATAAATACAGAAAAATGTTAAACATTCAGGGGGAATTTATCAAAACTGGAGCAGACCAAATCTGAAGCAGCTTTGCATGGCAACCAATCAGCTTCTCTCTTCAGTTTGTTTAGTTAAGATTTTAAAATGGAAAAGCGGGTCCTCCATCCACTCCTGGGGGCGTGGCCTAACTATGGCGGCGTGAGGACTCTACCTCGCTGAGCTCCGCTGCTTCCACGGCATCATTCAGTCGTTCCGGCCAGACAACCCGCTTTATACCCGCTCTATACGCTCCATACGCTCTACGCTCTACCCGATGTCTAAAAGAGGCAAATTGCAGGGGGACGAAACCGGGAGGAATCCAGGAGATCTTCACTCCTTTTTCTCTCCGTCCCCGGTTTTAACGCGATCGGCTACAGCAAACCGCAAGGTGCCGGCTGACATAGTGCCGCCGACAATAGCTCTAAACCACGGGGACTCAGTGGGACCTCCCTCACTAACGGAATCAGGAGACTGAGGGATCCAGGCTACCGGGGTTCCACA